GATGACCTACAGGAAGAGGTTTTTGTTTGTTCACTTTTAATAGAAGAAAGGTTTGGTGGCCTACAAAAAGCAACTAATGGAAAGAGAGAAATTGAAGATGGAGAGAGTAGGATCTGGACATTAGAGGTCATGGAAGAGATGAGGTCAAGCCTACTTTAGTAGCAGGAACTCTCTCTAAAGGGAGAAAAAAGTGGATGAAGACAGAGCTTTTCTGGTGGAGAGGAGAATGGACGAGAGAGCTCAAGCTAGAGGATCTCATATTTCAAAGGAGGAGGCAAGGTTTTCAACTGTGATTATCTAGCAAATACTCATTTTTCCCTTCTTCCTTACTAACAGAATCCTAATATTATTTGAGGCAACAATGTGCCCCAAACAAGACATTTTCCAGCATTTTTTTGCAGCCAGAGGTGATCATGTGAGTCAACTTTGGCTATGAAGAAATCAGTGAGGTTTCTGGGAAAGCTCTTCATAGCGAACCAGTGTTGTATGCCCATCTTGCTCCTCCCACTTTTTCCTTTTTTCCTTCCTGGAATATGGTTTTGATCGCTGGGCCTGCAGCAGCTCTCCTGTGACCCTGAAATGACCTCAAGGATGAAAGCCAGTGCTGAGAATGGCAGAACAGAAAGAGGTCAGGACATTAATGACATTATGGAGCCACCGCTGACCCGGATTGTCCCCTTCTGGACTTACTTTAAATGACAGAAAGATAGCTCTTTGCCTAAGCCTCTGTTATTTGGGGCTTTTGTTACTAGCAGCCAAACATAATTCCTATCTGGTGAAATTGGAGGCCGTGTGTGTGTGTGTGTGTTAGAAGATGGAACATACAACAACTACACTAGGGGGTTAAGTTCCACATTGCTCTAAAGTCATTTGTGAGTTGAAAAAGTTTATAATCACAGCTGTAGGAAACTATGATCAGAAAACCCCATTATCTGTATGAATGTCTACATACTGCAAATCCATTTTGTGCGAGTTGATCCTGCTCGTCCCTACAGCTTGTTGACCTTGACAGTATCTATCTTATAAAGACTGAGGTTTGTATTTGATGCCATTAGCAGTTGTTATTGAAGGAGGAAAATATTTTCCTAATTCATTTCAGGTTTAAGATCAATTCTACAAACATTGAATAAAACATGAAAGGCACTTAAATAAGCATAACTATCTCTGAAAACACGCAACGTTATGTGTTATGTTGTGTTCTTCATTGTTCAGACTTAGGGCTTTGAATCTAGTAAGTGTTTAAAAATATTTTTTCCCCTTTCATGCCAAAATATTTGACAATCGTGAAATATCAACCCAGAATGCCCTGGGTAAATGCTAGTGAGGCTTCAACCTTTTTTTTTTTTTAACTGCAGGCTAAAACCATTGCCATTCATGTATAACCCAGAGAAGATATCTCTTTAGATACAGCATATGGCCTCTCAGTTTAACTATCCATCTTAAAATGTCAAGGGCAAGTAGAGAGTTGTTCATTCATATCTTCATCAGCAATGCCAAGAATCTTTTAAAAAGTCAACAACTGATAGAAGAAAAGTCTTTGCATTAGCACAATGCTCATCTGCTTTCCAATACATTCCATATGCAATTCCTAGGGTTTATGAGGTTGAAAAAATAATTCTAGTTGAGGTCATTTATCTAGTTTTGTGGCTGCTGGGCATTCAATTGCTCTGAAAACTATCTTCAACTTCCTGATTATTTTTAGTTAATGTATTAACCGCTGGATTAATGTACTAACCATTCTTATTTGAAAATCCATCTTGGTTGTATTATCAGGCCATACACAATGGGCAAGCAGGAAGGATTTACTGAGTTACAAAAACTGTTAGTGTATCTTAACATTTATTTGAAAGAAAATGATGCTTCAATTTATTTAATATTTCAATGATAACTTGTTCTCATAAGACAGAGAGATACACATTTCAAGGGAACAAATGAGAGGCAGTTTTTTAAACGAGGTAACATGGAAAACAGCACAAAATACCATACACAGACCTCCAGGGATGGGGGAAGGGAACCAGCAGGAATAAGAATTCCTGGGGAAAGGCTCTCTCATTTGGACAAGAATATGCTAGACTCCTATAACTCATAGGTGCTTAATAAAAAGTGTAAACATCAATTTGATTCAGGCTCAGCTTCAAAAGTTATAAGGCATTGATCAGAAAAGTATATTTAACATGTGTTCCCTTTATTCTCTTCTTACCTGATCAAGAACTGAATGGGCTAACCAGTGTATTCATGTGGATGAATTAAAGACAACCAACTTTGGAAACGTTCCTTGAACAACTGCTGCAAATCCCTGACACCGTCTAACTAACCATAAGCTTAGTGGAGCAGCCCTGGGTTACTGGTGAGGAGAGTGGCTCTTGGGCTGAGCGCAGAAGGGTGCAGCCATGTTATAGAGTTTGCTGGAGTGGGGACAAGGAGGCTCTGAGACCTGCAGAGGAGCCCATCGGATGTGCCCTTCAGAGGACTCTGCATGTCCTGAACGGTGGCCCTGAAAGGCCAGAGTTTCAACATTTCCCTGATGATGCCATCACAAGCCCCAGGGCTGCAGACACTACTGCCAATTTTGGGAAATCCATTTTTCTTGCTGTTAAATAAGATGAGAAGGCCCAGGCCTAAGGCATGAAGAGCTAAGAGGATTTCAAAGCCACAAGGGGGCCTGAACTGCTCAGATCTCACTAAGAACATGGTTCATAAAACGGGGTTTGTGCTGGGGTTGAACCCTAGCAGTGATCCTCAGCACAACAGTGAAAGCACCCTGCACTCACAGGGGTGGGAAGAGCTCTGAGAAGATTCTCCTGTGTGTTCTTCCAGACCAGAACTGGTATTCAGTGTTTTGCTGGGACAAGGAGGGGATATGGGATCATTCCCACAGACTGACATGGTTGCATTTGAAAGCTGGAGTGAGCATTTTTCAAGTGAGCATGGCACAAACGGCAGGCCAGTTCTCCCCAGGCACAGAATGACGTGTCACTATGCCTTTTAGATGCAGGCTGCCGGTTGCCCTGATGCTCCATCTGGCATCCTTCCTTGGGACCAGAGCATTCAGGCTAAATTCAGCCTTCAAGTGCCTGGGAAGCTGGCAGACCCCAGATAACTCCTAGGAGAATGAATGTAGATGAATTTTTAAACTACAAAATGAGAGTGTATGTGTTTATTTGATAATGGTCCAAACTTTAATAGCATGGTAAAATATTTATATTATGTTTTATAGCTAGCATGCAATCAATCCATAACTCACTGACAGAATTTAGAAAGATCAAGGTCTACTCAGCGACAGCTAGATAGAACCACTCAACATTAAATATATATATATATATATCAGTTAATGGAAAATGCAGACCCATCACCACGCAAGCCTACTGTCCTGAAACCAGCCCTCCACCCAATGGCAAGACAGGAGCTCTGGGTGCACAGCGGTCCTTTTGCGGACTCTGTTTTTCCAGACCACAGAGTAAAGGGCTGTGGGTCTCTCTCTGGGGTGGGGTTTTAAGAAGTTAATTGTCTTAGCAAATTGACCCATTCAAGTTAATCTCCCTCTTGGACTCTGAACAGCCTTGATTTGTTTCACCAAAATCCCCAATCCCCCCTTTGCTTAATGATGTCAAGTGAATACAGGGAAAGGGATTGAGGGTGGAGGATTGGTAAGAGATATTAAGTAAATATTCATTATGCAAAGATAAATGAATAATGATCCTTGTTTCTTGGCCTTTTTCATAAGGTAAAAAGAAGAGTGGCTCATGGCCAATCAGCAACCACTGAATTAGACAATATTAGATATGAAAAGACCCCGAAGCCCGTTATCTTTGTCTTCCAGGAGAAGCAGCTGGGAACGGACTGGGCCTCACAGATACTGGTGAGACCTGAACTCTCCTTCTCTTCTCACAGGGCCAGCTCTGTCCGGGGTCCCTGGGGAGCAGATGGGAGGAGGCACAGAGCAGAGAGGGCTTGGGAACGTGGAAGGCACATGGTGGGGCTGTTGCCTTTTGCTCACAGGCAGTGCAGGCAACGAGACACCCTGTGTGGTGTTGATGGTGAGTGTGTGTGGTACGAGGGGCTCTGTACCCCCTTGTTATAAATTCCAAGTGGGCACAAGCAGTTAGGAGATCCAGAACATAAAAAAAGGGCTACAGATAATTTACCTTTCCCATTTTCTACTTGTATACACGATATGAAAAATAAAGATGGTTCAAAGCCACCATGATGTAATGTGCTTCTCTTTCTCTTTCCTCCCTCCCTTTCCATATAAAATGGCAACTCTCAGAAGAAACAGCCTTTTCCCACATATGCAAACTGGTTGCAGCTTCTTGTGTCACTGATCAACACATCTTGTCTTTTGTAAGGTTTGAGGAGCAAGAGCATGACTTTGAACTTGAGTAGCTTTGGCTGTTGGATATTTCGTCTAGAAAGAAGCAAGGACAGAAGCTTGCCGAGTCCCTGTGAGGTGAATTACTCCTTAAGTACAAAGCCAGCTCCCTCCTAGGTGATAAACAAACATGAACGAAATGGATTTGCTTAATTCCATTCTGACTAGTGTTTAGGTAAGAGAGGCGATCTACGTGACCTTGGCTCAACTGTAAGCCGGTTTCTCATTTTCTGAGAGCTTCACTAAGACCTTAGGCTGCTCATTTGGAGCACTGGTGACACAGTAGTAACACAGCCCAAACCTGAGCAGACGGCCCCATGGCAGCTCCTCTTCTGAGCACCCCCGCCCTGCTCCCTGCCAGAGATTAACTGCCCTAATCTACAAATGCGGAGCAAATTCCGCTAGCACTGTGTCAAAAAGTGATGATTAAAAGAAAAAAAAATTGATGGAGAGCTACACTCTTACCTAAGAAATCATGCCATAAACACCAGATAAGTCAAAGATCTGAGTTTAGGATCTTGGGGGCCCATACGTTGCTGGGGTTACTTCCAGGAAACGGAACTCCGCAGGCCCCTCCAGATGACTTTGATATCACTTAAGCTGTCAAGGATAACTGTACGCAGATCCAGAATAACAGAGGATGTCATTTTATTGGCTGTCCACAGGAAGTTTGGTCACATAAGGAGGTGGAGACTGTGGTGGGTGTGGTACAACACAGGACTTGCCTAACTACTGAACAGAAGGTTAACTGGTACTCCATAGAATAAGACCCCTGCAGCCTTCTGCAGCCCCGGGGCCACCTGCCCATAGCTAATGAAGCTGAATAGGCTGGCGAGGGATGGCTTTGTCCATTAGTTGTGGTTTGCTGCTCTGTCTTCCCATAAAACAGCACTTGAAAGTTCACAAAATTAACAGACAGAGCAGCCTGTCCTTCTGAATACCAACACCACTGTCCACAAACGGCAGCGTGGCATGCAAATCCACATCTGGTCGATGTTTCCCTTTAGGTTTTTTTCTTTTTTAATTAACAAATGGAATGGCATGTCTATTTCAAATATTAGTTGCATAACACTTAAGTGCAATTTCAGTCTGACCACAGTGTCAGAACTCTTCCAGGTGTCTGTCACGAGAGCGCCACGCAGCGTCCCATCAGGCACTGCCCTTTCCTGCCAGACTCTCACTGCTGCCCCACCGAGGCTTGTCCCTCCCCAAGCCCACCCTTCATATTCCAAATGCCTGAAAATAGCTACTTCTTTATTTTCATTGTAATCAAAGTGGTCAGGGTGGAGATGTAAATTTAAATAAAATCAAGCTGTAAGCCTTTGGGTCCTGCCCATCTCTGTCATCAGAAGGGCATCCATTTCTTCTCCGAGTGGTCTTTGTGCCCCAGGCCCTTTGTGCCCCAGGGTCCTGGGAAAGCTGCTGTGGGGCGTACCCTCTCTGCTCGCTCCCACGGGCTGCAGCCCCTGGTGGGGCCCCAAGGTCACACAGAGCTGAGTTTCACCAGGCCGCGCACGGAGTCTTCATGCAGAGAGTCCTGGCTGGGTAGGCCCAGGACGTGCATGGTGCGGCTGTGGGCCAGGGGGCTGCCTGCCAGCATCCTGGGGGGCGAGGGCGCCTCCTCTGGAGTCAGGAACTGGTGGCCCATGTGCTCCTCTTTCAGGGGCAGTATGTCTGTGAGCACGGCCTCCGTGCTGAGGTTGGGCATGGAGGAGGGTGGCGTGGGCTGCCCAAGTGTCAGGCTGGTGCAGGGCGTGCCCAGGCCCGGCTTTCCAGGCAGGTGCAGCTCGTCGCTGGTGAGGCTGGGCTCACTCTGCAGGAGGGGTGTGGCCGCGGCCTGCAAAACGAATTTGGTGCTCTGAATGCACTGGTCTTGGTCGCACTGGGTTGCAGGAGGGAGCCAGCAAAGAGAAGGCAGAGATGAGATGGGCAGGGGGTGGGGAGGGAAGGGGGCACAGGGGCAGAGGGAGGGCGGGATGCGAGAAAGAGAGAAACCCATTAGTAACACTATAGACAGGGGCAGAGAGGGTGCACAGTAGCTGGTTTCATTTGGAGACACACAGCACGTGGTAAATACCAAGACCTCAGTAAGCCACTCCACCTAATAATCACCCACAGGTGTCCAGGTAGTAACATGCAGCCACAGGCCACAGTGCTCCTGGCCCTGGTTGCAGACAGGACCTCATTTAAAAAGAACCTTGTGGACAGAGTCACGGGCTTCACCACCTGCAGCCGTCTGAGATGGCGGCTTCTGATAAACAGCTGGTAAGAAACCACTTCTACAATATTATTTCAAAAATACAGAGATCTGGGCATACATGTCCTGGGCATAATGGGCAGCATTATTCACAATAGCCAAAAGGTCCATTGATGGATGAATGGACAAATAAGACGTATACAGAGACGATGGAATATAACTGAGCTGTAAAAAGGAATGAAATTCTGATACTTGCTACAACATGTGTGAACCCTGAGGATGTAACACCAAGTGAAATAAGCCCATCACCAAAGGACAAACACTGTGTGATTCCACCTATCTGAGGTGCCTGGAGTGGGCACACTCACAGAGACAGAAAGTAGAAGGGTGGCAGCCAAGGCCTATGGGAGGAGGGAAGGAGAGTCAGTGTCTAATGGGCACGGAGTTTCAGTTTTGCAAAATGAAATGGTTCTGGAGAAGGTGGTGGTCTGATGTTCAACTAACAGTGTGACTGTACTTTGGACCACTGAACTGTACACTTAAAAATGGTTAAAATGGTAAATTTTGTTACGTATATTTTACCACAAAAAGAAAGAAAAATTCTGGAATGACAGGAGCCCTTGAGGGTCTGCTCACACCATTCCTAAAAGGCCTAGAATCCCCACTGCTAAGTTTTCAGCTTCAAGAACCATCAATTGAGCTTTTGTGGTGTTTATAAGCCTGACAGAATGCCAACAGTTTACAAGATGTTTCCTCTTCTTCTATGTGCTCTTATCTACTCTGTTTCTCAGAAGTTCTTAGAACAAACGTCTTTCCCCTCTTTACAAATGAAGACCCTGAGTCTCAGAAGGGTGGGTGGCTTGCTCAAGACCTTCAGTACGCTGGACCCTGCACCTGTGGCTGGGCTTGCTCCTTCCGACCGGATGGGTTTCTTTCTAAAATCACAAGAGGCAGTAGGCCGGCATCTAGAGGAGCAGGTGGAAGGGCTGCATTGCTAAGGAATTCACAGCGTTTAGAAGTTCAAAGACTTGGCGCTCCAGGGAGCTTTAGAGAGGGGAGATCCTCACTTTCCACTTCATCCCACTTGAGGGAACTTAGAAACCCCAGAAGCTGGGGAAAGGGTGAGAAAGGAGTGAGTGGGGGCTGCTGAGGGGGGAAACTGCCCTGACAAAGTGCTGGAAGGGGCCAACCATTGGTGCCTGGAGTCACTTCGCGTGTTCACTTGCCCAGCCCTCCCCCAAACCATTTTTGCCATAGCAGTGCTTTCCTTGTAGGCGGCTGGGTGGCTCCTTGCCCTCGTCTGGAACTGCAGCCACCGCAGCCACCGTTCTGCTGCGAGATGCTGAGCCCACGGCTGTGGCTGCAGACACCCTGGCCTGTGCAGGTTTTGCTCACACTCTCATCCTTCATTTGGCTTCAGTCTTGACAAGGCAGAGGCAGAGACGAGCGACTGTCCTGATTAAACATTCATCTTCTGGAAACAATCCCAGGGCTTTGGCTATATTGTGCTTTGCAAAGAATGTTTTATGAAAATCACCATTTAGAACCCTTTCTGGCTCTGCTTCTGGTAACTCCTACAGCCAAAGACCGCAGGGGCCGAGCACCCCTGCAGAGAGCAGACCTCTTCTGGAGGATGGAATCTTGTTCTCAGCCTCACTTTTGGAGCCCCCGCCCTTCTCATATCTCTGTCCACACAGCATCCTCAGCTCTCAGGAAAGTTGGAACTGCAAATCAGATTTACTTGTCTCTGTTGACCCAAAGAAGGCTTTCGTTATTAACAACGAATTGGCAAATTCTATTTTAGGAATCAGCCCAGGTATTTCTGACTGACTCCTACAGACTCACAGAGAAATGTGTTAGAGGTCAGAGCTGGATCTTCAAGGTCAGGTGGCACAAGCATGAGGTGGGGAGGGCTCCCCACTCTCGTTCTCCCTCCATCTCTCCTGGTCACTTGCCCTTTTCCTGGTCTCTGATCACTCCCCTCCAGTAGAGCTCATGGGCTCACACCAGAACCTCCTGGGATAAAGCGGCTGCCAACAGCCACCTTTTGGAAGAGCTCCTGCTCACTGGGAGCTCCACAGGCTTGCTGCAACTTTGCACTGTGAACATCACTTGCTGCCTTGAACTGGACAGTGTGCGCCTAGAAGTGTGGATTTAATTTGAAGCTATGATGCTTAAGTTCAAGGGCCCCTTGCTTGCACAGCCCCCTCTGGGGCCTTATTCCTTGCCTATGTTGTCTTAAAGAGGGCTCCAAATCATGTGACTCAGTTCTCTCTAAACCTGGGTCCACTCCTGCACACACCTCTTGACGCTTTCTCCTGGCCAAACTGACTAAGAACAACTTGCTAAGAACAACTGTAACAAATTCGTACTGACCCTCCGGCCAGGACCCTGTTGAAAATGCTCCCCACCTTCCCAGGGGTAAAGTTTAAGAACTTTATGTGAAAGAAAATATTTAGCCTAACCCATTAAAAAAAATCTAAATATAAGTCACTCAGAAATCTTTTCAAAATGACTAATTTGAACTCTGACTTGTGATATCTGACTTCAAGGACCTCTTCTCCATAGGTCTCTTTAAATATTTTAAAAGATGACAGTCTTTCTGAGTATAGTTTTGGATATTTCCTTTGCTATAAGGACTGCTTTCATATTAATCACTAGCCTCTTCTCTGCCCTGCTTCTCCTTCTGTGGTTTTGTTCCAGGCAGTTATCTCAGTGAGACCATTCCCAGGACCACGAACCTAAGTGTCTAAAGCTTGCTGTAATCCATGACTTTGAAAAACAGTTTGCTCCATTCAAATTTCCCTTTAGACTGATCCCATTTGGGGGTACCCCAAGACCAGGCTTTCTGCTACAGGATGTTGTCCATATCAACCTTCTATTGACTTATAACAGGATGACTACAGATTTTATTAAATTCCAGCCATGGATTGTGCAATGACTCTACACAGTGGAATTTGTAATTCTTTTAATATTAACTTTGCATGCTTTGAACATCTTAGAAAAAACTCACTGGTTAGGGGATACCTGTTTTTTTATGCTCTGCATACTGCCAAAATTCCAAGGAGGATGGTTAATAAACCTTCACGGTTGCAATTCTCACTTGAGAACTTCAAGGGAGAAAATGGTCTGTTTTTACAGGGGACTGCAGAGATGACCTGTGAAATAATGTTCTTAACCTCCTCCTTTTTACCTTTACTTCTAAGTCTTGTTTGCCCATTTCTTGTTACTTAGTTTTATTTAAATTTTACTTAATTTCTACATCATTTTCTTTCTCTCGGGTCTCAATAATTCTCTTCTCAGTCCCCTCCAGAGATTTCTTCCACTTCTCTTTTTCTCCTCTCTCCTCTTTTTTACTTCTTATTCTTCTTTTCTCCTCTTTCTTCTTACCCATCTACTTTCTCTAAGCTCGACCGGCCACCGCGGGCGTTCCGGGCTTTTTATTTAAGGATTCTTTTCTCCAACCAGTAGGGGGAGACATCACTGCTTCCTTTTCTTCTCTACAACTTGGTAGCAGGTTTTATCTTCCAGCACTGACATCAGGAAGCCATTAGTTATAGTAATTTACCTAACCAGTTATATAACCTTAAGAGAAAAATAACCAACCACCTGGATAATGGACAGTGACAATCCATTGACTATGGGCAGGAAATTGAGAGACTCATGTTTTCATTCCAAAACAACCCTTTAAAGGTGCATAGTTACCAAATAGTAGGTTGAACCATATGAAATTTGCAATTTTTAAGGTAAAAAAGCATCCAAATATTGAGTACTAACAGGAGATAAATCTGATAGTTTGTAAGAGTGTCCATGAAAAGATCCTTCTGTTGGCAGCATAAAACTAATACTGTTTGGAGTGCTAGGGCATTTGCTGTGGTTGCAGTAAGTCACTGTGACGGCTGGCTGATTTACTGCCCAGGGGAGGCACTGGCATTTAGCTTGCACAGAAGTTTATGGTTTCAGATGTTCGGATGTTGCATTATTGCTTAATGTTACAATTTAAAAACACCACAGAGATAATTTATTTTTTGTTTCTGCAGATTTTCAAGTAAAATTGCTCATGTTGGAATACATTTTATTTTACTCTAGCTGACTTGTCTGAAATAAACGTAACGTGCAGATTAAATGCTGCTAAAAGCAAAACTAGGAGTTTTCTAGGTGGTCTTGTATACAGATTAGGAATGAGGAAAATTATTTATTTCCTTTGCTCCAATTCTGTCAAGAGTATTAGCATCAGGCAGCATTTATCTCTGCATGTGTGAAGCATGTTTCAGGGCCTTAGGTGTGCTCATTCACAGTTTTAAAAACACCATAAACATAGAAAATCCACCTAAAATATAGGTTAGGAGGACAGCTTCCTATTTGTTTTTTACTTAACATTGTCATTTAAGTTTGCTTCAGTTATTTTTTTCTGCTATATTTGATTGTCCAGATTATGCATGGAGAGTTCTGCAATACTAGTTTAATAAATCAGGCAACTGCTAGATTTAGTCTTATTCAGATACTGGAGTAAGGGTGATTTAAACATTTGGTTAAATAAAGAAGCAAATTATTTTCCAAAAAAAAAATTCCAACAGTGATATACTATGTTACAATCTTCATGTTTTGCACTTGATCCCAAAGGACCTTTGTAGCTACAAGGGCCAGATGTTAACATAAGCTACAATCCTGATGCTATACAGAAC